GAAGTGGTCGAGTAGCACAATGAGGTAGTTGGAGAGAGAGAGAGAGAGAGAGAGAGAGGGGGAGGGAGGGAGGGAGGGAGGGAGAGTGAACTTATCGTATTGATGAAGTGGTCGAGTAGCACAATGAGGTAGTTGATCAAATAGAATTGCCTCAGCAACTGATGTTTTGGAAGAGGTCTACGATGATGAATCAAAAATTACTCACGGCACTAATAATAAATATAAAGATCAGAGAGTTACCGACCAAGGAGAGATAACTTCTCTATCTGCAGAAGTGAGAATGTTGAGAGAGGAGGTGAGCAAAGCCTAATGCAGTAGTCTCACAGTATATAAAAATAAGAAGTTGAAGGGACAGGTGTCCAACACATCGATGGAGGAGTAAACTTGTACTTGTGAATTATATTGTGTTGTTGTTAAGATTGCAGATTACTTATTATGATTACAGATTTGTTATTAAGTTTACAGATTGGTTGTTAAGATATTACAAATTTTCATAATTATAGTTTTAAAATATTAAGTAATATCTTGTTTCTGTTTTTTTGACACAGGCACTCCACACAAGGTGGCTGACATTGAGATTGAGAGGGAATTCCTTCCACCGGAGGAATTCCCTTCACCTGACTTTATTAACATTGATATAGAGGGAGAAGGCCCCTCAACCAGGAGAAGTCCCTCTAATAGAGGAATTCTCTCCAACTAATGTGACTGACATTGATATAGAGAGGGAAGGTCCTCGACCAGAGGAAGTCCTTCCAATAGAAGTGTAGGTGTAAATATTGATCTCCCGAAAACAGGGAACTTCATTTGTATTAATAAGAAGGCTTATTGCAAACTAATAAATCGAAATTACAACAGAAACAGAGGGAAGGCCCTCCTTGTTTAGTGCGGAGACTTTCGGTAGCTACAGGATGCTTCGTTCGATGCTCGTATCGAGTCTGCTTCCCTTGGACGGTTTGACCGAAGTTGCTGGAGAGCCTCAGTACACAGTAGAAACTCGGATTGATGGAGTTTGGGTTCTGGAGTTCGGCGACGATTAGGGCCCGGAACTGAAGGGGGATGCTACAGTGCAACGGTTATGCAAAGAGCTTGTCGTCGACCCGCATGGGAGTCGAGAGCTAATAGTTCAATTAGCTGATTCAGCGATGAGCGAATCACTGGACGGCTGAGAAACAGCTAAACTTCTTCTTCGTAGCTAGAAAATGTTCTGAACTGGTGAACCGGTGAACCCCTAACCTGTGGCTGGAAGAAGTTCTTAAATGGTGGAGAGACGGCGTGGTCACTCCTTGAATCATGGGATGTGACCATGTACTATTGGGAGATGTCTTGCCGCTCATCTGTACTACGAACGGTCATTCAATGGGCTGTGCTTCACGTCGTGTCACGTAGGAGTGGGAAAGCCCATCCTCGTATGTGAACCAGCGGCTGTCTCACTACTCGAGTGGATTTGGCCAGCTTACTGCGCGCCGACGACTCCAGCTCTTGACTTGGACCGATGAGCTGAGTTGTATTTATGAGCACGCAGGTTGATTTGGCGTCTGTCTGATCACCTGTACTATGAACGGCCACTCGACGGGCCTGGAGTACTGTGCCTTCTCCCTTCAGGTCGAAAGAGGTAGGAAAGCGGGTTCCCAGTACTCGAGTGGGTTTGGACAGCTCGCCGAATGCTAGCGGACCCAGCTCTTGACTCGGACGGACGAGGTGAGTTGCATTTATGAATATTCAGGTTGATCTGGCACCTGTCTGATCATTCGTACTGTGAGCGGCCACTCGACGGTCCTGGAGTACTGTGCCTTCTCATTTCAGGTCAAGAGAGGTGGGAAAACCCGCCCTGGCACGTGGGGTAGCGGATACTCAGCTATTCTGGCGACCTTGAGGTTTGCAAGCGGATTCGACTTTAGACTCGGTCAGGCGAGTTGTAAAAGAAAGGCGAATTTCCGTTATTTAGTTGATCTTGACTTGCGCGGGTGAGTCGATCATTCAGGCGAACCTAGGACACGGGTGCGTTTGACGACCGCACGGCTTGGGCCGTGTTGGCGATTCTTCTTTGCAGGCGAATTTTCCGCAAGTTTACAGAGGTATTTTTTACCATCTACAAGACCCCTTTCAAAGTTTTCAGACCTAAACCGGCTTGCGTGTGGTCTGGAATACTTTGAATAAAGAAGTTCTTGGCGAAATAAGTGCCTCTGGTTTCCTTTAGGATTTCTAGCAAACCCTCAGCTATCAACGGGTTTGATTTGCCTTTACCAATTACCGTTCGAATCGGGCTACCCATACTATTCCCCTCAGTATGATAAGTTATCGAGTAGTTTCTCTTAGGCTTAATGCTAAGATTTCTACTCTAACCCTCTGCCTCCTGAGGCGTGGGCTTAAGCGAGGTCATCTCGTTGGCGGTTTAAGGTTCGGGACAAGTCATGTTATTTGTCGTTTGTCTCCAAGGGCGAATGCGCCGTTCAGGCAAAGTTAGGTTTTAGTGGCGAAATTCTGCTCGACTTGCGGATTTGGGTCGAGTTTTCGCAGGTGAGACCTTTCCTTTGTGCGTAACTAGATTCAGTGTGAGTGAACCACATGTCCGCTGGTGGACTTCGTGCTTTCCAGCTAAGGTGGCGTGGTTCCGTCACGTCGCTCTCATTGTGATTCAAAAATTTGACGTCAGCTTCGTGTGTCTCGTTTGAATCGTGGCCGTGGCCTTTGAACCCAACCGTCAGATATAGCCG